CTGAAGTACAATAAAAAATAAAAAAAAAAGATTAGCTCCTTCAAGTTAATAATTGTGCAGAACCTTAGTCTCTTTTTGTAATGACCAGTAAGAAGCTTATTTTGTAAGAAAATTGATTTTATGTCGTTTAAAGAAATGTTCTAAGATAATTGTGCCAGAAAAAAGCATTTTTCCATATCATAGAAAATCCAAATTTAATTATTTCTCAACTAAAATTTAAACTTTACCGTTCAATCTAAACATATTCCTTGTAGAGATAGTCAATAAAACAAACAAAAATAGTTCACATGTATGCTATAATTTCATTATTTGAAATCTTTTCTGAATAGCTTGTATTTTTTTATTGCCATATGTGTTTTGAAGTTTGAGTATTCTATTTTTTATTTATTTCTTTTCCAAAGTTCTCTTAATTAGTCTAATCATGAATATCTAATAATTTATCCTTTACGTTTTACATATATAATTTGGAATTTTTTCCTCTATTTTATAGAACGTTGTTCCAGCTGAGGTGTCCCTTGTTTGTGTCGTGAAGCCGGATGAATTCTGGGATAAAAAAGTAACACATTTTTGTTTTTGGAAAGAAAAGGATAGACTTGGCTTTGAGGTAAATATACTCTATTAAAAAATAAGCAAAGTATGTTATATCTTTAAAAATAATATTTTTCTGGTATTATTTTGTTTTCTTCACCATTGGGTGGGTACTAAGTTCCTAAACAGTGATTAGCATATATTGTTGGCATTCAGGTGCTTGTTGAATGTATTATGGTTTTTTGTCAAAGATGGCAAAGGTGTTCTTGTTTTCATTTATATCATGGTTAATGACTGAATAAGTAGAACCTTTTTATTTTAAGATTCTTTATTGGATTAACAAGAGGACATACTAGGCATTTTGGAATTGAAGGTAGAGCCTTTTTTCTGTATCTGGTTTGGTTTTGATACATGAAAATGGTTGTCCATCCTTTTCTCCTGACATCATGCTCCCCTTCTCACTTTTATTGTGTGAAAGTACATCTTATTGTAGATTAGAAAGAAGCTCTAAGATGGAATACAAATTTAAACATTTTGTCATATTTTCCCTTCCACAACCTGTTAATTCCCAGCATCCCAGTAGGAGAGTTGATAGATACCAAAGTTTACATTGTTTAAATAAAATGTGAAAGCATTGAAGGGTATGAAGTCTAACCTCAATTCTGTAGACTATAGACCCTGGAATGCTTACAACAGACACATAATAAAGATTCATTTTGGACCTTGTAATACTATAGTCATTTTTATTTTCACTGAAGTCAGTGTCAATGTATTTTTGGTATGAGGAATGATTGTCAAGGTGTATTAGAAAGATTTAAGAAAGCCTAGTTTATTCTTAAAGAGGTAACTTAAAACATCTTAAAAATGTGTAACTTTTTTAAGCTATAATGTACATGCAATAAAATTCACCTAGTTTAGTATTCAGTTCTGAGACTTTTGACAAACATATAATTATGTAATTACCACCACACTCAAGATGCAGAAATATCTTATCACTGTGAAAATTCCCCCATACCTCTTTGTAGTCAACTCTTTCTTCCATCTTCAGCCCCTGGCAACCACTGATCTGTTTTTTATTTCTATAGTTTTGCCTTTTTCAGAATGTCGTGTAAGTAGAATGACACAATTATTTAACACTTTGAATCTGAGTTCTTTCTCATAGCACAACAAATCTGAGATTCATCCATGATGTTGCATATATTGGTAGTCCCTTTCTTTTTATTGCTGAGTAGTGTTCCATTGCATAGAACAACCACAATTATTTATCCATTGCCCAATTGAGGGACATTTTGGGTTGTTGTCAGTTTTTGGTGATTAAAAACATTCACCTGTACGCTTTTGTGTGCACATGAGTTTTTATTTCGTAGGCTAAATACCTAGGAGTAGGATTGTTGGATCATATGGTAAGTGTATGTTTAATTTTATAAGAAACTGCCAAACTGGCAGTTTCAAAGTGGCTGTATCATTTTGTGTTCCCACCAGCAGTATATGAAAGTTCCAGTTGTGTACTTGTCAGCACTTAGATTAACAGGTTTTTTTTTTTTTTTAATTATAGATATTCTAGCGGGCGTGTAGCGGTATCTCAGGGTGGTTTTAATTTACATTTCTCTGATGACTAAGAGGAATCCCTGGGAGGCACAAACAGTTAAGCGCTCGACTACTAACCAAAAGGGTGAATTCAAACCTACCCAGAGGCATCTCAGAAGACAGGCCTGGAGATCTGCTTCCAAAAGATCAGAGTCTTGGAAAGCCTATGGAGCAGTTGTACTCTGCACACATGGGATTTCCATGAATCCAAATCGACTTGATAGCAACTAACAACAACAAAAAAATGACTAGTGATGTACTGTATTTTTTCGCAAATAACCAGGGCACTATGCCAGAACTGTTTTACTTAATTTCATCCTTTCCGCACATTGTATGTATGGGTGCGCTACTTACGTGGGCACATTGTGAAAAAATACGGTAGTATCTTTTCAAGTTCTTATTTGCCATCCATATCTTTTCTTTGATGAAGTGTCTGTTTAAATCTTTTTTTCATTGTTTTAAAAAATGAGGTTGTTTTCTTTCTGTTGAATTTTGAGAGTTCTTTGTGTATTCTGGATAGAAGTCCTTTATCAGATATGTAATTTTCAAATATTCCATCCTATTCTGTTGCTTTCTTTTCATTCTCTTAGCTGTTTTTTAAGGAGCAGAAGTTCTTTTGTTTTTCTATAGATTTTTAACTTCAGTGAAGTTCAGTCAGTTTTTCAGTTTTTCTTTTCTGAATCATGCTTTTGATGTCGTATCTGAGAAATCTTTGTCTAACCCAGGGTTGCAAAGATTTTCTCATTTTCTTGTAGAAGTTATGTAGTTTTAAGTTTTACATTAAGTCTGAGAATATACGTTGTATAACTTCATTTATTTTAAATTTGTTAAAGCTTTTTTGTCCCGGTACGTAGTTTATAAGGAGCCCTGGTGGCACTCTGGTTAAAGGGGTCGGCTGCTTACCAAAAGGTCAGCAGTTGGAACTTACCAGCCGCTCTGCAGGAGAAAGATGTGGTATTCTGCTCTCATAAAAATTACAGTCTTGGAAACCCTATGGGGCAGTTCTCCTCTGCCCTGTAGGGTCACTATGAGTTGGAATTGACTCAACAGCAACAGGTTTGGTTTTTTTACATAGTCTGTCTTGGTGAGTTCCTTGTGCACTTGAAAAGAATGTCTGTTTGGCTATTGTTAGGTGGAGTGTTCTGTAATTGTCAAGATGGTTCATAGTGTTGTCCAGGTTTTCTTTATACTTTCTCATATTCTGCCTACTTGTTCTATCAATTACTGAAAGAGGAATATTGTAGTCTCCAACTATAATTTTGGATTTAACTGTTTGTCCTTTCATTTCTATCAGTTTTTGCTTCATTTATTTTGAACTTCTATTGTTAAGAGCATACAGGTTTAGAATTGTTATGTCTTCTTGTTGAGTTGACCACTTTATCGTTGTTTAATATATCTTTTTATCCCTGATAATATACCTGGTTCTGAAGTGTACATTGTCTGATATTAAATGTAACCACTCAAGCTTTCTTTTGATAACTGTTTGCATAGTGTATCTTTTTCCATTCTTTAACCTATCTAGTTCTTTACATTTGAAGGCAATTCCTTGTAGAAACCATATAGTTGAGTCTCACTTTCTATCCAGTCTGATAATCTCTTGTCTTTTCATTGATGTGTTAAGACCATTTACATTTAATGTAATTATTGATATGGTTGGATCAAAATCTACCATCTTGTTAGATTTTATCTATTTTTTTTTCTTTTTCTGCATTCTTTTGGATGAAGTACTTTTTATGATTCTAGTTTTTCTCCACTACTTACATGGTTTATAATTTATATCTCTAAAAAATTTTTTTGGTTCCTTTTGAGTTTATACTATACATATTTAATTAATTGGAGTCTTACCTTTAAATAATATCAGTTTTCATGTAGTGTTAGAGATCTTAAAAAGTATATCCGTAGTACTTTTCTCTCCTTCTTTGTGCTATTGTGTGAATGTAGCCTCGAGAGTCAGGACCATGGTAAGGCAGTGACTTCAGACAATCCATGAGGTCCCCAGTTCATGGCCAGGGACATGCAGGAAATAGACCTCTGACAGAATGCAAAGTAATCACAAACCAGTGGTTCAGGACCCAATCCTGTGAACTCTGAGTAGGGGAGCAGATCCCTCTTACGAAGAGTCTGCCATACCCTTACAGAATATAGGCAGTTGCTCAAAGAGCTGTATCTCGTTGGATCTCATACTATATGAATTATTAGTGATTAAATACTTTGCCTCTTGGAGGATAAAATAGAAGACAGAGAATTCCTACCTATTTTGATCTGATGTCGTAGATTTTTTTTAATTCAAACATTAATGCTTCTTACATCAACGTATTTTCTCTTAGACATTGATCAGATTCAGCTAGATATTTTACCAAGTAAATAGGTACTAGGCACTTAATAAAATTCTAATGTCCTTATGAGATGTGAGGAATTTCAAATGCTGGCTGGTATGTCAGCAAACATAATAAACTTTAAGGAGCAGTTCAGCACCAGCCATTAAATGATTCTTGGATGTGTATATATAATTGAATTCAACATAGATGCTTGTTTAGTTAAAAACTGTTTTCCTTGTCGTTATTTTGGATCATTTGGGCTGTTGCAACTAAGCCTTCTTTTTTGTGTCTATTCTAAATGTTTTAGAAAGTGATAACTTTATGAGTACTGGTATTCCTATAAGCATAAGCGTATATGCTACCTTATAAAATTATCTGTAGCAAATATCCATAGCAAAGATTTATTACCAGCAGTGCAAAATGTTCATCAAATAAACACCCAGTGGTCATTTTAGTGACACCCAGCTCCCACATGATTTCACACTTTCGTCCCCATCACCCTTCCTAAATATTTTTTCCTAGGTGACCTATGTCCTTTTCGTTTCTCCAGTGTTTTTCATCCGCCATTGAATATTCATCTCTCATTCTTAATCTGCATACCTCCATATGTCCTTCCTATTTCTGAAATAGGTACTTTTGGTCAACTCAGATATTTATAGTCAGGTATTTTCTGTCCTTCACAGCATTATAGTTGGTGACTTTGATAGATTTTGTTGGTTAGATGATAGCATCTATGGTCTAACGACAAGATAAAATACAGAACTACTGGCATTAATCTTGTCCTCAAATTGGCAGACTACATAATCAAGAGGATCTCTACCCTGTCACTGTTCTTTGTCACTCATGATAATAAACGTGTTATTTACTGGTAATGGTAACCAGCCAGTATTCTAAATTGTTCTCTTGTCTCTTCTTATAACTGCCTCTGATCCTGTTCTTCATTGAGGCCATACTAATGGTAGGATCCAGGACCAAAAGCTGGCTTCATGTTCCTCTGTCAAGAACATCTCTGGCTTTATCTATGTTGACTTTCTATTTTTTGCAGACTTACTTTCCCTTAGTGAGAAAAATATTCTCCAACAGGTATAAGCAGACATACATATCAAAATAGTACGTGTATGAACACATGTACACACATAAATCTGTACGAAGTGCACAGAGAGGTACAAAG